CAAATTGGGTAGTCTAAGTTCAACGTTGGAAGACCTCTGAGGCGGTTCTTTGCCACCCACTCCCACCCGCGAGATGCAGCCGGGACAGCCCTGGTGAGGAGGCCTGGCCTGCACAGCCCTGGTGAGGATGCCTGGCCCGCAAAGCCCTGGTGTGACCCCACAGAGCCCTGGTGACGGTGGTGAGACACAACAGAGCCACGGTTAGAGCCCAGAGAACCTTGATGACAGGGGTGAGACCCCACAGAGCCCTGGTGACGGTGGTGAGACCCCACAGAGCCCTGGTGACGGTGGTGAGACCCCACAGAGCCCTGGTGACGGTGGTGAGACCCCACAGAGCCCTGGTGACGGTGGTGTGACCCCACAGAGCCCTGGTTACGGTGGTGAGACGCAACAGAGCCATGGTTAGAGCCCAGAGAACCTTGATGACAGTGGTGAGACTCCTCAGAGCCCTGGTGACAGTGGTGAGACTCCCTCACAGAGCCCTGGTGACGGTGGTGAGACTCCCTCACAGAGCCCTGGTGACGGTGGTGAGACTCCCTCACAGAGCCCTGGTGACGGTGGTGAGACCCCACAGAGCCCTGGTGACGGTGGTGAGACCCCACAGATCCCTGGTTAGACCCCACAGAGCTCTGGTGACAGTGGTTAGACCCCACAGAGCAGCTACACACATTTTATCTATACCCTATGTTTGTTTATTGATATTTAATTAAAGAAAAATTTGGTTATGAGACAAATAAGATTCTAGAAACTGTGAATTCATACAATCTAAAGCGATATTAAACCTTAAGTTTTGTTTTTTTTATCACTGGGAGGCCTCGTTTATGGAGAACTTTTTTTTTAAAAGTCTTTAGTTCCTCGTGCTCTAGTAGATCCCTGCATTGTGCTTCCCCCTCCCTCCCTGCACAGGTCCTTCCATCAGCTAAGCAGCTCCTGTGGAGGCAGCCGTGCATGCTTGCTCGTTGCCGGCCGTGCCTGCAGAAGCTGTGTGCGTCCATAGACGCACACAGCCATCCAGCAGGCCACGCCCCTCTCTGCCCAGCAGTTTGACTGACCACACTGTGGCGCCTCTGCCCTCAGTATCATCCTGCCACCACCAGGACGGAAGATCGCTTTGGGGACCTGCAGTGGTGAAGTACCACTGATGGGTAAGTGTGGAGGGATGGAGGACACAAAAAGGTACTGTGTGTTTTTTACCCTAATACAGAGAATGCATTAAGGTAAAAAATGCCCAGTCTTTAATAATACTTTAAGGCTTGTCTTCTTAAATGCAATTTTGTACAGGAAATGTTTAGCGCTTGCAATTTTTTTCCATTATGGCAGTGAGTGGGGTCTCGTGTTTTAAGTTTTGCCTAAAGCCTCAAAATCATCTCTGAATTGGTGCTGACACTGTCCTTCCTTCTGGAGGGTGGCTACTTTTGTTCCCTATGGTCCCTGCAGAGGCGGATCTAGACTTTGTGAAGCCTTAGGCGAAACTTAAACATGAGGCCCCACTCGCAACCATAATGTAAAATTGATGGCTGTGTGGGGTTTTAGGAGGCTTTAGGTCTCAGGAGGCTGTGATTTTTTTTTTTTATTTGTTTGTATTTTTCATTTTAGTTTATCTAACTTTTTTTTTAATTTTTTTACTTTATCGCTGGGAGCAATAGCCAGCCTGCTATTGGATATTTCAAATTGCAATGACCAATAACAGGCTGGCTATTGCACCCATAATACAAAACACAAAAAAATTCTTCAGCCTGCCAGCCAGCCTGCAACCAAACAAGTAGCCCTGTCAACAGTATGCGTTAAAATCAGAGGTTTTAGTTGCACAAACTTTTGGCCAAAAATATGTAGAAGCCACACTGCCACACCTGCATGTAATTTATCAACTTCATTAATATGCTCACACTTGGAGACTCGGATACATGGAGTTAGGACCACACTTTGCAGAGGTGCCTTGGCGCGGCAGTGTGGCTTCTACATATTTTTGGCCAAAAGTTTGTGCAACTAAAACCTCTAGAAAATGCTCCAGGTTCTGCCTGCTCCAGTTTTGATAAATCCCCCTCAATGTGTTAAACAAAAATGCATGTCAATTCAAGTAAGTATATTGTGCGATAACGAATGTACTAAACATAATGCACCAGGTGTGAATCTGCTGCGAATCCACCCCTGGGCTCCATCATCATCATCCATCCCAATCCCCTAAGCAAGTGTAAGGATGACAGCCCCGGTTCATGCAGCTCTAAAACAACGTCAGCAAATTGCAATAGCAGGACCCGTGCTGAGAACAGCCAGTGACCCCCGCGGCTACCTTACACCTCTGACGCCACCACTGCCAACTGCTTTGACGTCACGCTTCAATTTCCACTGGTCCCTCCTACTGCCCTCTGTGGCTCTGCGCCCGGGGAAGTCACGTGATCGGGTCCTGGAATGCAGCGAGCAGCTGACGGAGAGGGGGCGTGGTGTGCTGCTATTGACGTCACTCTCCGGGCCGTTTGGCGCACGCGCAGTGCGGAGGCATCGGCGGCCGGTATCACGGGGAAGGGGGGTTTGGAGTCCGGAGAAGCGGACAGGGAGCCGTAGGAGCTTCAAGGTGAGAGGGGTGCTGTGTGTGTGTGATGGGCCGTGTCCTCTGTCTGTTGCAGTGAGAGAAGCCTGAATGTGTGGGGGGGAACGCCCGTGATGGTGTTATATAATATAGGGTGATGTGTGATGGCTCATGCCTGTGTTTCTGTATACATCATGTATATGGGGTGTTTTTCTTTATTGGGGTACGGTGCTAGAGGGTCATCGTGTATAGACATGTACTACATGCATTGTATTTGGGGAGCTGAAATATAAACATGGGAGCTGCTCTGTGTCTGCCCAGCCAGTCCTGAGATGTACACAGCTCTGCCACACACCACAACCAAGTTGGTGACCTGTCTTTCCCCTATTGCAGTTAAGCATTAGTCTGGTCAGCTGCCTGAGATTGGACAGTGAAAGAGATGCAGTACATTGACAAGCCATCACTCTGCTCTCACCTGTCAACATGCTCCTTGTCTGCACATGTGCATGCAAGCACTTCTGATTGGCTCCTAGTATTGGCCTACCTACCCTCCCCCTGTCGAAGTGCTTCTTTATTGATTATGGAAGGCTGATATCACATTAGAATACTAATGGTTGCATGTAAATTATATGTTGAGGCTGTGTTTAATGTTTTTTCCAATGCGTTATTGTGTGTTATGTTAAAGCTGAACTACAGGATAGGAATAAACAACCTCTTACAGTGCCCACCCCTCCTGCACTTCAAGGGTTAAATTGTCATTAATTATATGGGGAAGTAGTTGTATTGCTATATACTCTGCTCTGGTGCTCACCGTTTGTCCCTGACGCTATGGGCGGTCCCTACGTGTCATCACGTACCATTCGGGGCTATTAGTCCTGCATTGTATATGGAGGAGGCGACTGTGGCCGGGAGCGTCTTGGAGACTTGGGGGGGCACTGCCAGACCAAGGAACAAGGCAAGTATTACTTCCTATCTCCCTGTCCCAGGGCCCCCCAGCTGTGCTCTAACTACAAATCCCAACATGCCTCTGTCTCTAGAAGTCATGCCTGGCACTGTCAGTCTTGCAATGCTCCATGGGACTTGTAGTTCCACAACAGCTGAAGGGCCGGAGTTGCCCAACTTTGCCCTACTACTTGGAATTGATGGGCATTTAACCCTTGCAGTTTGGGGAGCCCCACTGGTCTTCCAATGCACCTCAGCGTGGCTAAAACTGCATTGTACCTTTTTAAGGAAGCGCAACTAGCAGTAGTGCGTCGCCTTAGTTCAAGAGAAATGCCACCATCGTGTGTTACCACCACACGTTAGTATGAACCCGACCTTTTCAATGAACACATGACTGCGTTAATTGGTGGTGTCTGAAGTTCAAGTTTTACCTTGGCCAGTTGTTAGGGTCTTGTGGCAGAAAATGGCGTGGTCCCGTAGGAAAGCTGGGGACATATTTCCCTGCCAAGTCCCAGTCAGATGAGAAATGAGCCCATAAGATTTAGATTCTGTAACCCATCCCTATACGGGGGAAGTACTGTCGTGAGGCTCCTGGGACTGTCGTGGGGCTCCTGGGGCTGTCATGGGGCTCCTGTAGATGGATGGCGTTGATGAACGCTGCTGTTTGCATGTGAACACAGTGCTACTAAAACGCACGTTCAAGCGCAAAGGCCATTGACTTATCCACTAAGTCAGGGGTAGGCAAGTCTCGCCCTCCAGCTGTTGTGGAACTACAAGTCCCATGAGGCATTGCAAGACTGACAGTGACAGGCATGAGTCCCAGAGGCAGAGGGATTATGGGATTTGTAGTTAAAGCACAGCTGGAGTGCCAGAGTTGCCCACCGCTGCACTAGGTGAATGGATCTCAGCCTCGGGGACACCACCAAATGGGAGTCTGCAGGCGTCTGCTTAAAGTACGCTCTAAATGAAGGAAACTAGCGCCCACCTACATGAACACAAACATGTGGAAGCTTTAGGGCCCGTTCACAATAAAGTGTGAACGGCGCTGTCATTAAGAATCATAGAAAATAATTCTTTATAGAGGAGCTCCAGGATTTTCAAAAGTGGGGCAACCCCCCCTCCCCACTGCAAGGGTTAACTGCTTGGTTTGGTCTAGGTTCACTAATAAAGAAGATATACTCATCTGATCCTTAGTCCTGTCTGGCTGCTAGACCAGAGCCCGCAGCCTCAAGACCCTGTCTGTTAGACAAGAGAATGCCGAAGAACATACCACATCCGCAGAAGGGGGGGAGGTGAGGACTGAGGATCAGGTGAGTTTATCTTTATTCTGTTCCCTAGAAAAAAATAGGCAGTTAACCCTTGCGGGGCAGGGGTGCGACTAGAAATCACAGGGCCCCATAACAAAATTTTGTATGGGGCCCTGTGATTTCTAGTTACAGCCCTTACAGAGCCCACCTAAGATCCCACACAGCCAACCTGAAAGTGACCCTGCAGAGCCCACCATAGACTCTCTATGGTGGGCTCTGCAGGATCTTAGGTTGGCTGGTCACACAAATGCACACCTCTTGCCTGTCAGCCCTGATCTGCTGTCCACCGCCTCCTCCACGGTCGCTGGCGGGCCCCGCTTCCTCCTCCGTCGCCAAGCCCCGCCTCACCCGTCACTGGGCCCCGTCTCCTCCTGCGCTGCCGACCATGGGACTTGTTTCGTCCTCGCTGCCAACGCCGGGCAACGGCCTCCTCCTCCACAGCGGCTGGCTGCCAGTGACTCAGCAGCGGCTGTGAGGAGGAACATGCTGCCGCACAGATCACTGACAGGTTGTTCCTCCTCATAGCCGCCAGTGACAGCCAGCAGCCTGAGATGCCATAGCGACTCAGGGGGACCCCTTTTGTTCCTCATCCTGGCCGGGTGCCCCGGGCCCCATAGCGGCCACCTGGGTCACTATGGCGATTGTTCCGCCACTGGTGCAGGGGTAGCCACGCTGCAAGGGTTTACTTTTGAGAATACTGGAGTTCTTTACACAGTTGTGGACACTGGACATACCCCACACACCCATACAAATGTTATTGTAGTACACAGGGGTGTATGTGGTAGGCTCTGTCCTTCTGCCCTGCCTCTGCTCCCCTTCTTCTAGTGCTGAAGTCAGAATGATAGTTGGGAGTTGCTGTGTGAATACGGCAGCTGAATAAATTGCTGCTATCAATAAATAGATCATCTCGCAGTGTTTATAAATATTGAGAACATTATTACTTTGTATCTATTCTGTCATTCGAAAGCAGATCGAAGCCCCATAGTTACGCCACTGCTTAGAGTGTAAGCTCCTTGAGGGCAGGGACTGATGTGAATGTACGAAAGCGCTGTGTAAAATTGCTGACACTATATAAATGCCTATATTAAGGTGACAATGTTCTGCCTCTCTCTATGAATTGTGCTCCTGTGTTGTCATCCTGTCACTGAGACTTCTGATGGGGACTACAAGCGGTCTTGCTGACTCATTACATAGGCATGGTCCACCATTGTCCACATTAGGCTACCATGTAACCATCACTGGAGTCCATGAATGTAGACAGCGAGTGGCTGCCGGAGATCCTCAGCACTGTTATGCAACAAAGAATGAAAAAAGGGGAAAACCAATATTTCATGATGAAAACATTGCAATTGTTTGATACACAGCGCTTCTGAAAACGAAACGTCATTCAGTCGGGGTATACATGTACATTATCAGCCTTGAATCCTCAGGTAAATAGTATCTGTCAACATGCATGGAAGACGATCTGTAGGTATTAGTCAGAATACTACAGAAACTTGCTGATCATCTTCTGGTGTTAGCACCTTCGTGTCTGTGAGAAAGGAGCCGGCGGGCAATGTTTGCTCATGTGACCAGTTTGTGGATACAGCTGCCACCTTTGATTTTTATGGTGGGACTTACTAGGTTAAATCCGTGTCATTGTGCTGCTGACTTCAAACAGACCAACTATAAAGCTGGCCATATGTTGGTTGAATTTTGAGTGTTTGTGACATGGCCGAAGCTTGAGCAGTGTGTGGCCCCGTCGGCACACCTCCATTCGCCATTTCTCAATGGAGAGTTGACTAAGGAGCCTGTCTGAAAATCCTCAGTGGTGCAGTGACTGCAGCCAATGAGCTGTTGTCACTATTCGGATATTCTGACGACGGCCCACCCATCGCTATCGGAATACAATAGACTGGTGAGGGCCATCACCCAATGGTCTGCTTGGATGGGGGTGGGGGGGAAATCAAGTGTTTTTTTTTCTTTCCGTGGGATGAACAAGAAAAAAACAATAGGGTATGGCTAGCTTAATTTTTATGTTTTGACTAGCAATGCGTCGATAGTAGTATCGGTGCCGATACCGAGTATTTGGGCGATTACTCGTACTTGCCCAAATGCTTCAATATCTTCTCTGATACCGGAACTTACTGGAAAGATTTCCTCTGACCAGCAGTGCCGTAGAGAAACATGGAGCCGGCTTCCCGGGCAGTCAGGAAGCCAGGCGGTGAGTAATGACCCGGCTCAAAGCTGATTGGCTGGGAAGCCAGCTTTCCAGCCAATCGAACCGGCTTCCCGGCCAATCAGGAAGCCTGGAGGCAGGTCATTGCTCGTCGCCCTGGCTTCCTGATTGGCTGGGAAGCCGGCTTGATGCTGATTGGTTGGGAAACTGGTTTCCCGGCCAATCGCAATCGAGCCGTCCAAACAACATGGAGCCGGGCGGCATGTTATTACTTGCCGGCCAGCTTCCTGATTGCCCGGACAGCCAGCTCCATGCCATCGGAAGCACCCGTATCCGTACTCTGTATCGGCGAGTACCGAAAGCAAAATTTCCGTACTCTATACCAAAAAAACGGTATCGGTGCATTCCTAGTTTTGGCCATGTTTTATTAGCTTCTGCTTTTTGGGTGACGGCATAACATTTTTTTTATTTTTTACAAAATTTCTAGAAGGTACAGAAATCACCCAACTTGTAGAAATGTTTCTCTTGTATTATAAGTCGGAAGTTTTGAGTAAGTTTATGGTTATTTATATGCTGATACTGAAAACGGTTTGTAAGTCATTAAGGTTCATAAAGGTCGCGCACAGGTTAGGACACCAAATTCAGAGCTACGAGCCATCTCCACTGATGAACAAATATCAGTTGACAAACAACCATTGTCTTCCATTGTTTGAGTCCACAGGTTCAAATATTAGGAACTGGTTAAAAGTTCCCACACCATTTCCTTATCCAAAGAGGATTTAAGTGGAAGTTCACCTTAGAATTGCTTTGTCAGAGGCACTGCCGGTCAGAGGAAATCTTTCCAGTAAGATCCGGTATCAGAGAAGATATCGAAGCATTTGGGCAAGTACGAGCAATCGCCCAAATACTCGGTATCGGCACCGATATTACCAGCCATGTTACACATGTACCCTGATAACTGCACAGCGCCATGTTTGACTTCTGTCCACACTGTGGTTGTCCATTAATCAGCAATGGAAAGTGCCGGCCATTTACCATTGACACCATTCCACTCTTGGTGTTGGTCAGCACCCTTCATGCTATCTACATCTTTGACAGCATTAGTCAGCAAGTATTTCACCAGCACACCAAGGATCTTCCTCCAAAAAATGCCTTTTATTGACGTTTCAGCAACCTAGTTCACCCAAGCCCGGTCAAAACTCTGGTGCCATCCCGCCTACCGACCCAATCAGTGGCAGCAGTTGCGGTGGGGACAATCCCTGTCCCTTTGTGCCATATAGCTGCAGTAAGGGGATGCGCCTCCCCACAACTGATTGGGGTGGCGGTCAGAGTTTTGAGTGGTTTTGCACCAAGCCCAGCCTCCTCTCTAGTCTCTGGTAGCTTCCAATGCTGATTATTGGACATGCAGACAAATGCGAAACATGGAGCTATGGCTTTGTCAAGGTACTGTTGTAGGTGTTATATGGCTGTTTAATGTTTATAAAGTAGTACTAGGGTGAACTTCCACTTTAAAGTCTAACGAAGATCAAAACCTTTATTTTTAGCTTTGGATGAAGTAGGGAAGGGGTAGAACACATGTTTATTGCCATCTGTGTTCTCAACTTGTGAGATTTTGCTCTATTTCCTGTCCCCAGGGGACCAGATGGAGGTAAGTGGGAAATCTCCCCAAAATTAGGTAAAATCCCACCTCTGACAGTTGTTTAAAACATGTCCCCATTCTTATGTTCTGGTGTTGACTATAACATTTTTTCTAATTGCCTATCGCTTCCTGGTCCCAGGACAGATACTGGTGTTAGATCTTTCCAATGGGGCTAAAGACCATGTAGAAATCAGACCTTTTCATTGGTGGTCAGTGTAGAAGGGAGCCCCTTTCATTGGTGGTCAGTGTAGAAGGGAGCCCCTTTCATTGGTGGTCAGTGTAGAAGGGAGCCCCTTTCATTGGTGGTCAGTGTAGAAGGGAGCCCCTTTCATTGGTGGTCAGTGTAGAAGGGGAGCCCCTTTCATTGGTGGTCAGTGTAGAAGGGAGCCCCTTTCATTGGTGGTCAGTGTAGAAGGGAAGCCCCTTTCATTGGTGGTCAGTGTAGAAGGGGAGCCCCTCTCATTGGTGGCCAGTGTATAGGCAGGAGCTCAATCTGCCACTGCTTTCTTATCGAGGAACCCCTAGAAACGTCTGAAGGAACCCCAGGGTTTCCCAGAACACCGGTTGAGAATAGCTTATGTAAGACACTTGATTCTCAGAGCTAACACTATGTTGATGTTTTGCTGTTTAGCCTGTTATACATAATGGAGGGAGGGATCTCCAGGGCCGGGTATTGTATTCATGCAGCCGCAGTAACTGCATCTGATAGGATTCACTGAGTTCGAGCCGTTTATGACCAGCTTTAGTCCGCCCGTGACACAATTGCTTTTCTTTTTTCTGTAGAATTTCTGCTAAAATGTGTAATTCTGTTTCCTTCCTACTGCACGGAAATAGAGGAACTAGTAAGGACGGAGCCTCATATTGGGGCCATTTGGCCAATTATGGAAGAGTTGGTACTTGGAAGATGGCTCAACACATATAACTTATTTTCAGTATATTGTGCATCTCTTTCTTATAAGAAGAGGTTTTTTTCTTCTTCTCCTAATAAAGAAAACGCCTAGAAAATAATCATCCCAAAATGTCCAGTTCAGTTATTCAAATTCCCCATAGATAATCTGTTATATGCCATATATAGTTATCAAAACATGCATGCATAATATGCTATGAACACTGTGCGTCCGTTACATTTGTGCGAACACAGGGGACACTATTCATCCGTTACATGTATGTATGCACACAGGGGAAACTAGTTATCAGCTACATGTTTGTTTGTGTGTGTGTACAGGGGACACAATGAATCGGTTACCTGCGTACAGGGGATACTGTTCATCAGTTAAGTGTGTGTGTTTTGCGCATGCAGGGGATGCTGTGCATCAGTACTATGCATGTGTGTGTTCACAGGGGGCACCTTGAATCCGTTAAATGTGTATGTATGCTGGGGATACTATGTACTATGCATACACGTGTGTGTGCGTGCTGGGGACACAATGTATCAGTTACGTGTGTAAAGGGGGTACTGTGCATCAGTTATGTGTGCGCATGCAGGGGATGCTGTGTGTGTTCACAGGGGACTCAATGCATCAATTATGTGTGTATGTGCAGGGGATACATTGTATCAGATGCATATCTATGTGTGTGTTTATTGGGGATAGCATGTATCAGCTACGTGTGTGTGCACGCTGGGGGTGTGTGTGCATGCCCAGGAGACACTATGCATCGGTTACATGTGGGTGCATGCTGGGGACACAATGCATCAAGTGTGTGTGTCTGCGCAGGGGATACTATGTATCAGTTATCTGTGTGTGTGCACGCTCTGGGGACACAATGCATCGTGGGCGTATGTATGCAGGGGACCTTATGCATCAGTAAATATCTGTGGGGGAGAGTGTACGGAGCTGTAACATGCGTGTGTCACAGTCTGCATATGTAAATTATGTATATTCTTTAGTAAAGAGTATGTAAATGTCTAAAGAAACAAGGACATTGTCGACCAAGATTTGCCTGGGTCTGCTTTATTGCTATCTTTACAACACGCACACTATACTAAGTGGTTGTAAATGTGTGAGGTAAATACTGATTGCCATGGCACCAACTGTATTATGTCCGCTCCAAACTTTTTTTTTATATATCTATATAACAGTTCTGTACAATATTATGCAACATTGTCCATAGAGAAGTGAAGGTTTAGCAATGTCTGAGGTCTGACTTCCTGACGGCGGCCTGTCTGTTTCTAGTGAAAGTACGCCGTTTCTGGCTTCCTGAAGAACATAAACATGTGTAGGCAGCACCCAGTAACCCTGTTTTGCCTCAGTACCTTTGTTTCCGCTCAGTAAGTACACTAAGCTGGATTTTGGCTGCACTCAGACATTCCCCCTCAGTGGAATAATATTTCCAGCAGATCTGTGCATGTAATGGGGTTGGGAAAGAGCAGCTGTGTGTATAATCTGGGAGGTTGAGTGTGAAAGATGAAAGTACATTTCGATAACAGGAGATAACCTATGGTCTAGATGTACCCAATTGCTTATATATGGATGGGTAGCTCGTGAATGTTTTTCAGACAAATATTTATGACACGGCTAGGCAAACTTCAGCCTTCCAGCTGTGGTGAAACTGCAAATCCCAGCATGCATCTGTTTCTGGAGCCATGCCTGTAGCTGTAAGTCTTGCAGTTCCTCATGGGACTTGTAGTTCCTCAAGGAGGGCCAAAGTTTGGCTTCCCCTGATCTGATATTGGGCATTTTAATTCCTGCAGTTGTGATCTTAAGCATTTCTGTAATCTGCTTTTCCCTATAGATGTGTTACGTGACTCCTTGTCTTTCAAGAGGACTGTCCATTGTCTGCATATAGCCCAGGGCTCCACTTGATCTTCCCCTTTTCCGGTAAAGTATATCGTATGTCCAATAATAAAAATTATTGTGTGACTAAGATGTGTAGTACTTCAATGTATGAAAGGAGGGTAGTGATTAGTTAAGCTGGCCATAAATGGCTCGGGTCCCTGCCAATCCCTATGAATCATCCACAGCTTGAGCCGTGGGTCTCCGTGTTGAGACCACCTGGCTTGACAAACTTTGATCAAATGGTGAAAGATCAAAGGAACTGGGCAGAAAAAAGTCATCCAAACAGTCACTTCAGCCAGTCAGGTGCAGTCACTGTTCAGGTATTCTATCAGCTGCGGGTGCTGGTGTTCTATCAAAGTTTGTGACTGCGTTAGAATGTGTGACGGTGACGTGGTCACACATTTTAACATAATCCTGCCCAGTTTTTCAGGGGTGGAATGTGTGACCGGTCATGTGGTCACACATTTTAACGTATTCACACCCATTTTTTCCGGGGTTAAAATATGTGACTGGCAAAGGTTGTAGAATTCAAAGCTTTTTCAGCTGTTCCAGGGCAGATCGGCATCGCAGATGGTATGTGCAGGAGAACCGATCTGCCCTGGAACAGCTGATTGGTCCTGAAATATCTCACTCCTTTCCGACTTTGTGACTGCGATATGACATTTAATAGAATTGACATAGAATATAGAAGTGACATTTCAGGACTGATCAGCTGTTCAGGGCAGATCGGCTCTCCTGCACACACCATCTGCGATGCCGATCTGCCCTGGAACAGCTGAGAAAGCGGTGAATGCTACACCATTTGCCGGTCACATATTTTAACCCCGGAAAAAATGGGTGTTACTACGTTAAAATGTGTGACTACGTGACTGGTCACACATTCCAACCCAGTCACAATCTTTGATAGCACTCCGGCTGTCAGACTACAATAATGTATCCATTCACCCTGTTTAGCATGGATGGGGGAATCAAGGGATTTCTCTCTCTCAGACAGAGAAATCTTTGTGTGTATGGCCAGCTTTCGTTTATAGACCAAGTCATAATTGGTTGCTACTGTCATCTGTTTTTGGCAATTACTGCAGCATGTAGGAATGGGACCGTATTGAATATTTATGACATTTATGTTTGCAAAATTGTGAGCAACTTCTTTTTAAACGAACAAAAGGGCATAAGGAGACCCTGCAACTATGATTAGAATAAATACTGCGCAGCGGTGGCCCTCTACCTGAGCTTTAACTACAAATCCCAACATGCCTCTGTCTCTGGGAGTCATGCCTGTAACTGTCAGTGTTGCAGTGCCTCTTGGGACTTGTAGTTCCACAAACAGCTGGAGGGCCAGAGTTACCCACCCCTGCTTTTACGGCTGGTCTATCGCACCATATCACTTGAGTTGCTTTGATCTTCGTAGACCAACGCAGGCTCAGTGTAAGGGCACGTAGAAAACAATTGTTCACAGCACAACTGTGCAGCAAGGTGGGTTGTGGTTAGGGCTGCACTGATACCGTTTTTTCGGTATCAATTACCAATATTTTTTTATTCGGTTCTTGCCGATACTTAATACTGATACCGGAAGTCCCATTTAAGGAAGCCAGGTGGCATGTAATGACTCGCCACCTGACTTCCCGATTAGCAGGGAAGCCGTCGGTAGGTGACGAGAAAGCATGGAGCTGGCTTTCTGGCAAATCGAGAAGCCAGGCACCGTGAAATAACGTGGCGCCCGGCTTCCTGATTGGCCGGGAAGCCGGCTCCATGCTCCCTCGCCACAAGGTGACAAGGGAGCATGAAGCCGGCCACTCGGAAAGCTGGGCGCCGCGTCATTACATGGTGCCGGCTTCCTGATTGGCCAGCTTCCCGACCAACCAGGAAGTCGGGCAGTGAGTCATTGCACGCTGCCCAGCTTCCTGATTGGCCGGGAAGCCAACTCCATGCTCCCTTGTCACAAGTGACGAGGGAGCATGGAGCCGGCTTCCCGGCCGGGCAGCATGCAATGACTCACTGCCCGGCTTCCTGATACTGGAAGCTCAAAGTATCGGGGCATTCGGGGCCCAAATACTCTGCACTGATACTAGTATCAGTATTGATGCATCCCTAGTAGTGGTGCATTGTATAATAATGCAGACATGCAGCATTTTTACGCAGTGAACTTCCCGCACCGCACGTCACTGCAGCGCATTGTAGCTCGTGGTGCATAGACTTTAATGAAGTGTAATTTTGTGACACCTCAATCCATATAAAAAATTGGTAAGCAGTGCCTTGCGTTGCAACAACAAGGTATTTGATTTTATTCAAGTGACCAAAGATAAAATTGCATACAGAAAGTGAAGGAGGGAAGAGAGTAACGGCTGGGTGAACTCCAGGCCTGGCCACGGGCAAATCTGCAGCAATCAGGTGTATAATCCAATCCATGGATCCAGTTTATTCAACCTGACTATGTAACATGGTGCCGCCACCTGAAATAAGGATCGGCCATCTACGTCGCCTAAGCTCTACCCACAGTGACGTCGCCTCACAACGGTGCAGGAACACGTTTCAGGTAGGAGTTCCCCTTCATCAGCCTACCTATGGGACTACCCTTCAACCATCAATAGAATGAGTGCAATGTTATCTTCTGCCACTTTAAATACATCTTTTATGATGTACTATGCGAGCTCCCCTTCACTGCTCTTTGCTTTTTATGTCTTTTATCACTTGCTACTTTTGGGGCTCCCGCCGATCTTTCAGCAAACTGTCTACATCAGATTTCTCACCACCCTATAAGACCGTGTTAGTGAATTGTCTGGTTGTTTGGGACTAAACCTCTATATCAGGAAATACCTACTAGCTGATATTTACTTTTTTATGCTCTTTCAATATTTTACTGGGTCAGTAATGCTGTTCTATACAATTGACTCTCTGAAATGCAGCCCAGGGTTGACTCTTATTTACACTGACCAATCCCATCCAGTACATTTGTTTTGAATTGCTGCTTTCATAATTTCCTGGTTTGGGGTTTTCCATCTATAACATGTCAAACAGGTCAGACCCTCAAACAGTGACAAGTGTCTGGCAGTATGACTATTATACAATGTAGCTTTGCTTTTTCAGAAGGGGATGTTCATTTTTCAAATCTACTGTAGCTATGAGGCTCCATTCACACGTAAGCGGCTGTCCGCACGTGTTCGGTTGTACGGATACGCGTGGAGCCGCTCTAAACAGACTTTAATGTGCATTGTTCAGACCATTGCAGGGGCAGCGCCGTACGAAACGGCACGGCCCCAAAAATAGTACGAGATAATGCGGCGGATTGCGCACATTCCTGGCTATTTAATAGCCGTAAACGAGAGGCATCCATGCGGATTAAAAATATTAGGGTTTTCGCCCCGCATAGTCTTCTGCGTGGGAACTGCAAACGCTTAATGTGAAAGACGCCTGATGCTGCATCAGTTTAGTAATTAGTAGTGCTTCAAGAAGAACTCCAGGGAAATGTATTAATCCTTGCAGTGGGGCTATCGCTGCACTGCAAGGGTTAACTGCTCGTTTTGTTCTAAGTGGTAAATAACAGTTATACTCGCCTGATCCTCGGAGTCGGCTTGCTCTTAGACCGGTCCCTGGAGCCTTTCTCCCCTTCCACTGCAATGGTCTAAGGTCTATACACAGTGTGAGGACACTGATGAACATAGGCTGCAGCAGATTAGGGGACAGGCTTCGGGGGAGCGCTATGACAACCGGTCGGCTCTGAGGTTCAGGCGAGTACAACTTTATTTTCCCCCCTAGACCAAAACGAGTACTTAACCCCACTTCAAGGGTTAATAAAAACCAAATTCCCCAGAGTTTTGTTTTAATGGGGTGTTTTTATTACCTGTAGTACTTTTTATGCATTTGATATTATATGTTCTTAAACATTTCAAAACAGGCTTTTCAGGCTGTGGCATGTCGGTGCCTAGGGAAGATGAGTAAAGTGTACTCCTCCCCTGGACACTCGCATGTTGTTCTTGGATCATGGCAAATAGTAGAACGTAGACGTCATTCAGTCATTCCGGAGGCATCTGGTGGCCGATTCACGATGGTCGGCTATGAATCTGCAGATCAATATTTGTTCACAAGTAACAATGATGTCATTGGTTTGAATACATCCTGGATGTCTGGTTAGGAGTGCGTTTCACAAAATGGTCATCTTGCTTGAAGGTTCGTTTGGGTTGTTTATTTGATTGGAAATGTCAGATACAGACAACGAGTTAAAGGGAAAATTTAGACTCCCCCTTCCTCCATAGGTAGTGAATTCAGGAAAAGCTGTGCTTTGTTGTCTGGATTAGGGCTGGATGAGTGTCAGCATGACCCTGGAGAGAACTCCCTCCTCATTGGCCTTCCACTACACAGACTATCCCCCCTTCAGTCTATAATGAGTGCAGCTGCTAGACTCATTCACCTAACCAACCGTTCAGCGTCTGCAACCTCCCTCTGTCAGTGCCTGCACTGGCTTCCACTCGTCCAAAGGATAAAATTCAAAATATGAATCACTTACAAAGCCATCCACAACTCTGTCCCCGGATATATCTCAAACCTGGTCTCAAAGTATCACCCTAACCGTCCCCTCTGCTCTTCCCAAGACCTCCTGCTTTCTAGCTCCCTTGTCAACTCCTCCCATGCTCGCCTTCAGGACTTCATTAGAGTCTCTCCCATCCTCTGGAACTCTTTACCACAACCTGTCCGTCTGTCTCCCACCTTGACTGCCTTTAGGCTTACCCTGAAAACTCACCTCTTCAGGGAAGCCTATCCCACCTCAACCTAACTGCTCAACCATCACATTCTCAAATAATTCATCCCCACACAGCTACCTCCTCATGTATCACTTGCTCCTCCCCTTTAGATTGTAAGCCCTTAGGGGCAGGGCCCTCCTTACCATCTTGTCTTGAATTGTATTGTGATTGTAATGTCTTCCTTATATTGTAAAGCGCTGCAGAAATTGTTGGTGCTATATAAATCCTGTATAATAATAACAACTGGACCTGTGATTGCTATGAACAGGATGTCTGGACACCAGCGTACACTGCTCCTGGGACAAAAAAATACAGCAGTAATATATGGTGGATGGGTGCATGAGGCATAGGTGTACCTCTATGTAAATAAACTGTAATATCTGCACTCCGAAAGTAAAAGCAGGCATCAGTAGGGCACACACATGTACTCGTGAGACCCCAAATCCGGGGCAAACAATATGCAAACCTCTACTGTTAAGCTCTGAAGTTAGAGCTCTTATAAATGCACCCCTCCCATCCTGTTGGTGTTTTATTTCCTCAGCTCAAGTTCTCTCACTTAGTTTGAAGTCGGCCTGTGCTAAACCAACACCAAAGAGTTGTGGAGCTCAGCAAATGTGTGTGGTTTGGTTATCTGCGGGGAATAGGCTAAGCTGGCTACATGCAAATAGGTGACAGTTGGCTCCCCATTTACCGTGACACAGCGCAGGTGCCGTCAGAGTCTTGCAATGCTTTATGGGATTTGTAGTTTCACCACAGCTGGAGGGACGAAGTTTGGCTACCCCTTAGGTAGAGGCTTGAGCACAAATATCATTAGGCTTGTGTAGGAAAGAGAAGCATCTACATGTACGGATAGTACACCCGTACATGTAGAGGGGAAGAAGCGTGTTCGCTGAAAGGGAAGTATAGTGGGGCAGGTTGGGGGCCAGATTGGAGGGGGTAATTCCATTTTCCCAGATTCACCTTGGAAAGTGGAATTACCCTTTACATATTAAAGAAGGTCCGGTTGCAGCACTTTCCTATCTGGCACTGTCCCCTGTAGAGTCTCCTGCTCAGGCATCCAGCGCTGGTCCGCTTCTAGGTTGAATGATGGCCAACGCCATTCAGCAGACTTCAGCAGAGCCGAGCCCAGGGAGTCAAGGACCTGCCCTGGATAAACAGTTGAATGCTGCAGAGTGGGGCCGCTTCTTCACTCTGCAGCATTTAGGATCCACCTAGCACCAGAGGGGAAAAAAAAGAGAACGTGAGACATAATTGAATGACACACTACAGACTCCTGGGAAAAAAAGGTCTAATTTTTTTTAGTGTGGGGTGGGGGCGAATTTGGGTAAAAGGGGCAGGTAGGATGTCAAAGCCTAGGCAAAGATGACACAGTCCCTAGCTTTCAGGTGCATTGTGGACGTTACATACCGTGTTTCCCCGAAAGTAAGACCTACCCCGAAAATAAGACCTAGCACTATCTTCAAGGATTTCTGTAATATAAGACCTACCCCGAAGAGACACTGTCTTATTTTGGGGGAAACACAGTAGTTAACAAGCTATTGTTTTCAATCAGACGAACCTTATCTTTGAGTTAAGGTAATCGGTAAGAAGCCAAACTTCCTTTTGTTATGAGCAAATGTAGCTGTCATGTGTACATATGTCTACTTACATCACAAACTTTACACACGCTGATAACATCTACCTTAATCTGGGTTTTTTTTTTACATGTAGATCTAAAAAACAAAAATGTAAAAGGCAAATGTTCTCAGGACTTTACTAGTCAATATGTAGAGGGAGTATTGTAAAGCAACCTCTTACACTACAGTCATTGTGTACATTCCACGGTTAGATAAGGACCTGTTGTTTTTGTTTCTAGTTGAACCAGTCTGGAGCAGGGGTGTCCCTAGGCTGGGGTGCTGCCTATCCAGGTGGGGATTGGGGGGAGAGGGGAGAGGGGACACCGACCAGAGCATCCAAGTTTGCTGCTAAGAGCTGGTTGGGAAGATGTATATGGCCCTTACATCTCTTCACTCGGCTCTTAGCAACTTTGGCCAGAAAGGGGGCGGCAGTCACACTGCAAACATTGCCGCTCGTCCTCTTGCCCCAAAGAAATGCCACCTAAGGCAACAGCCTAAGACTACCTCATTATAGGGATCACCCTGGTCTGAAGCATGCTGTAATGCACAGGCATTGGACCATGTCAAAAGGATGTTTTTTCCTTAAGTGATTTCTTGCTAAGGGATCAGCCGCGATCGTGCGCGATTACACGGGCGGAATCCACACAATCTACTTGGCGCAACTGGGGTGCCATTAGAAAAGATGTGCGATTCTGTGTCCGGGCGGCCATGTGCAAGATTGCCGAAGGTGTGAACCTGGCCTTGTGGAGATCAGTCGCTCAGCGATTTTAAGTTTGCGCAGCATTTTATGACCGTGATCAGCTCTCCAGCCTCTACTGCTTTGCCTTCACCTCTATAACACAGCCACAGATCACTGTGTTTTTTCAGGTGTTTTGAAGCTTGAGCATTTGTGTTTTAAGCAATGGAAAGTTAGTTACTAGGAGGAGCAGATGGTTGTTAAACGCAAAATCTTGTCAAAGAAGCGCGCTTTTCAGGTGCCCCTTTTGAAGTCTATGGGGCCAAAAAAGTGTTGGCAGCAATTCTGCCACTAGAAAGCTCCTGTACTTATTCATACTAGAAGCAAGAAGTGACAATGCGTGAATGGGCACCATTGAAAATAATGGGATTCTTTATGTTGAGCATTGTGGCACTTCTGGAAACGCACAACAAAGCACTCAGATGTGAGTGGGGGCTGTAGCAGAACCCTATGGTGGTGACATCAATGCCCTGTAAGCAAACCTGGTTGATATAGAAGATGAGAGTTTTGCCTACATGTGTAAAGCTGATTGTTGACTTTAAACTGGAATAGATTCGGAGAGCTCTAAAGATACTTGTTTACTTCCAGGGGCCGTTGAAGGTACTAACCCCGCCATGTATCCCAAGCTCCACTGCTCCTACTGCAGGTGTCAGCAGGTGGGGTGGAGGACTACCAGAGAAAAGCCATTTACTGATCGCCCTGTGCTGAATGAAGCTGGAAGCCACTAGCTTTCTGTCGCTTCTAGTTTCAGCGTTCTCATTCTCATACTATCTGTGCTAGATCAGCTCCACTCAAGTACAGAGGTGGAGCTGATCGATCTCTCTCTCTCTCTCTCCCTCTCTCTCTCTCTCTCTCTCTCTCTCTCTCTCTCTCTCTCTCTGTGTGTGAGGGGAGATCTCTCTCTAATGGAGGACTTAATAAAACAACCCGTCAGGGGTCCTAATCCTTCATTCTATAGAAAAATAATTTAAAAAAAAGTTTGGGCTGGCCGTACAATTTAACCGTTCACATTGACTCGGCATCTAACCTATACTTGTGTATTTTCAGATAAAATGCTTATTTATTGTTAGCTTATTACTGAGCATTCTTTTCTTTATTTTTAGGTTTTGAAAGTGCCAAGAGACTGAGTCACCATGGTGCAGAAATACCAGTCACCTGTCCGGGTGTATAAATACAGTTTTGAAATGATTATGGCTGTAAGTATTAGACATTTACTGAAAATATCTGGGGTTCTGTATTAAAGTGGGTTTCCTACATAGCCTCCAGATGAATACAGTGCCCTGCTGAAGCTCTAGACACTCAATTTTAAAGATGCTATGCCATGCAGCATAAAGGTTTTCATGGCGTCCCCTACTGTATTCATTGACCTCCTCAGCAGTTAAAGTTTGTTATCCCTAACAATTAACTTTTTTTTTTCTTTTTTGCTCCCCTTTGGTCTGGTAAATATACAATTGAAAGCATTATATCTGTTTTCTAAGTGCAACAAGATCTCTATTGCTCTTGTCAGGAATTCAGGGTTGTTCTGTGATCTCTGCCTGTGTTATCTCAGAGGGACTATTATTAGCTCTCCATGTTCTTATCTTGATACTGCGGGCTCTGCTTGTTTACAGGCAGAGCCAGCTGTGCCCGCCCCCTCCCACGTTCGTTCCTCCAATCAGCGCTGGAGGATCGGGGTGGGGTGAATCCCTGTGGGGAGCGGTGACTGACAGTCGCAACTCACTGCAGGGAGACGATTGGGAAGTGAGCAGATCGCTGCATTTTTCTGCTCACTTCCCGATCAATAGAGCCAACCTGTGACAGCGTCTTTGTCACAGGTCGGCTCTAACTATGAGGATGAGTGGAAATCACTCACCTCATAGTTCTCCTTTTAATCATAGAGATTCTCTACGACTATGTTACAGGTGAAACGCATCAGAGGCTGACCATGGATAGGACTTGTGTTGAGTCTGAATAAAGTTTTGTAGCCAGTGATGTCATCATTGTGCGACCCGATTTTTTCCGATTGACTGTGACACATGGGAGCTGAGACACGCTCCATCAGTTAGCGCCCGGATGCTCCTCTGTTTATAGTCATGAGGGAGAGGTGTATCACCTTTAGTACAAGATAGAGATCTGGCTGGGTTGGGAAGGAGGAGTCAATCAGTTCTGCTACAGTGTGAGGAACAAGCAGAGTGACCGAGAGATAAACTCATTAGTTTGCTGTTTCTTCTTTCATCGTGTGGTCACAGGGTAGGGGAGGGACAAGACCGGTGCAGCAGAGAAATATCAGGTCCCCTGCCAGACAGGGCTGTGCAGAGTGACAGAGCTGTGTAAAGCTGGCCATACACCTTGCAATTTATCTGCAGATGTTCTGTGGTCAGATGGAAAAGGTGCAACAGATTCCATCTACACTTTAACTGTGTGGATGGAATAATCTCCACCTGGGCCAATCTGTTGCACTTTTTCCATCTGACCACAGAAAATCTGCAGATAATTGTAAGGTGTGAGATAATTGTAAGGTGTGTGGGCACCTTATATCTCAGGACTGGATAGAGAGAAATACAAATCCTTTGGCAGGTGTAACCGTTCCTACATTTTATATTTCATCTTTGTATTTGCTTGCCTGGGGTTCAGTGTTTAATTCTTTCTGTATTGTATGAATACCTGATGGAATTTCCCTATAATTCAGTGCTCACACGGAGAACATTGCTAGCTGTGAATGTACCTAAATTCTAGCCGTTCTTTTCATAGGGAAAAATATGATTTGAAAGGAATATGCCTAAGCATGTCTATTAATATAAACTCTTGTGTGGGCATGCCTAATTCCCGCTGTTCTTTTCTGCAATGAGGATTTTTGCATCTACTATAGCCAAATTATTTCTGTCCTAGCTGAAAATATTACAGGCCTTTAGGGTCTTCATCCAGGATCCTCGCGCTTTGATGTCGCGTAAATCCTCGATGCAGCCAGGAAAGTAGATTTGCAAAGATTTTCGGGTCGTTTTTCAGGCTGCAAGGCTTTTTACTGTAATGTTTTGCCATGTAATTTCTTCAGCTTTGGTGATGCAAATTTCATTTATGTTCAGGCTTTTTGAACGTCAGAGTCATTTTCTTTGCCTTCTTTATGGAATGTGATCTAGTTTTCTGGATGTTGACACACAATATAGTTTGATCCTCATGTTTTCTGTAAACTACATACTTAGTTTGTGCGGCCAACAAAAAAAAAAAAAATCTAAATTATCACGTGGCATTCCATTTATAGGAAGTGTAATTTTCTTGTTATATTCGCCTAAGAAAGAGGTAGCTAATGCATCCAATATAGAGCAATGTTTAGGAGACATAGCCCTGAGGCTTTAATCAGTGGTATATGGTTTCATTTGATGATATCAGTATAGCACTCCTGAAAAATAGCCTCTTGGTAATGCCTATCTAATACAAGTTGGGACTCACTGTAAGATATTGGATATTTTCACTGCACTCAGTGTCCTTTTATCTAAAGGGGTATTGATGTATCTTGCTGCACTCCTTACCGGATAAAATGAAAACCTGTCTGATCCAGGTGGGTGCTTGCAATGACCACGGATGGCACCGTGCAATATCATGAAGTCCAAGAACGTCACCAGCACTCCAGTATAAACGTGAATAAAAAGATAAATGCAAGCGCTTTCGGGGCCTCACATGGTCCCCTTCATCAGGCTCAGAATGAGAATTCTAAGAAATGAGACTGGTCATTCTGAGCCGGATGAAGGGGACCCTGTGAGGCCCCGAAAGAACGTTCATTTATGACAAACGTGTCATTAAATTTATCTTCACGTTTATACTGGAGTGCTGGTGATGTTCTTGGACTTTATCTAAAGGCAACTTGTTAGAATTAAAATGTCAAATGTCAAGAGTGGGTTCTGTGGTGCTGGTTTCTAAAAGTTCTGCCTCCATCTTTAGGGCTTGGGGTTCCTCATCTTGAATGGCCGTTCCTCAAACCAAAAGGCCACCAGGTTCCATACCAGATATGTGAAATGTAGAACAGAGATCACCAGACCAGTAAGAAAGTGTCTATTGATAGAAAGTCCATTGACAAACCTGCGGTATTTAGGAGTTATACTGACTATGTGGCCAGAAGTTTGTGGACACCTGACCATCACACCTCTCTCTCCTTCTTGGACATCACATTCCAAAACCATGGGCATTAATATGGAGTTAGTCGCTCACCTTTTGCAGCCTTAACAGCCTCCAGTCTTCTGATATTTTTGTGTTTCTGTGGGAATGTATGACCATTCAACCAAAAGGGCACTCGTGAGGTCAGGTACTGATGGGGATGAGAAGACCTGGCTTGCAATCTGAGGTCCAGTTCATCCTAAAGGTGATAAATAGTGTTGAGGTTTGGGCTCTGCGGAGTCCACTTGACTTTTGTACTCCAAACACCTCAAACAATGTCTCTATGATGCCGGCCGGCTTTGTGCACAGGATATAGTTATGCTGGAACAGACAAAAGTCTTCCCGGGAACTTTGTTTCCAACAAAGTTGGAAACAATTATCTTTGTATGCTGTAGCATTAACGGTATTGTTTACAGGGAACACCTGAACTCAAGAGGTTGGAGGAGTTTCCACAAACTTCTGGTATATAGTTTATTATTAATGGTGTAGTTGTATTATTATACATGCAATAATGTGCCGAGCTGAAGACACAATCAAATAGTTTTAGTTCAGCCTATAATCATTGTTGTTTATTTCACGGTTTATATTTGATTCTTCAGCTTGGCACATTATTGCATGTATATATTTTATTACATAAGATATAATTTTAGTGCTTAGTAGCTCTTTTTCCACTTTTTTTTTTTGCATCATCACTGGCGCAGATCTTTTTTGTTTATCTGTAGTAGTATTATTAGTGTTCCGTTAAGTAGATTTCACTTCACTTCCTGTCCCTGAGAAGACATAACAGGAAGTGAGGCAAAACCCCTTCTTAGAAAGTTTTCACCTAATCAATGTCCACATTGGAAGAATTCCCCTCTATTTTTGCTCTGGTTACAACTGTAAAGTTGGTAAATCTCCCCCAAACAGGGCCATGGACAACGATGAAATCCCACAAGAGATTCCATACTCTTTTTCAATACTAAAAAATAAAGTTTACGCAAGTACACAACAATCAGCTGCTAGCAGCGGCGGTGGCCTCCTATCAGAATACAGTCTGAACAGCAGGAGATTTATTCATCAATGTTCATAAGAAGATGTTCTTGGACACATTATCAAGTCATGCTGGAGACGTTGCTGCTTTCGAACGAGGAAAACAGGCACTCGTACATCAGGTGATCTGTCGAAAACTCCAACTCGTCGAGATCACCGACTGGTGATGTCACGTTCGTTGACTTGGCAGTAGGAGATTTAGACCAGATGGTGCTGGTGCGCGTATGCCAGCCTTGCTGCTGTCAGAATCCTCATTGAGTTATCGAACTCCTGTCACTGCGCCTGCACGGCTTTACAATCCCCATCAAGTTCTCCAACCAACGTCAGTGCGCCTGCACGATCGTCGAACAACAGAATCAAGTCCTCCAAATAGCATTAGTCAGTGCGCCTGCGCACCTATCCGACGGCACAACATGCTGAGCTTGTGGGTGACCGCGCATGTGCACTGACGGGTTGGAGAACTTAATGGGGATTGTGAAGCCACGCAAGTGCAGTGATGGGAGCTCGATGAGGATTCTAACACCGGCACCGCTGGCGCACTAGTGCCATCTGGTCTAAATCTGCTACTGGCTAGTCACCGGATGTGAGGTCACTAGTTGGAGATCTCAAGGGGTCAGAGATTTCGACGGGAACACAGGCTTTAGATGTAGATGCAATTTAAATCTAAAGATGAAGCATTTTTGTGTAATTTGTTGCACTTTAAATGGAAGCCAAAGTTTACAGGGAGTTCTGTATTATTGCTTTCAATATTACTGTTCTCACCCATGTGTTCTCACATGGTCCTGGTTTTAGAAGATCCTTCTTGCTGCAGTTTAGGAATGAATGGTACCATGTATGAAAAGCATTGCATGCCTTTTATTGAAGGAATTACTCTCTCTTGTTTAACAAATGCATGAGTATTAAATCAGATGACAAAACCAGCTTCAAGTATACTGAAACCACATGCGTTAAATCATAGTCCAGCTTTTTAAAAAACAATAATAATAAACGCACTCGCACTATAAAATAAATGTGCATTTATTTATTTCATTTGTGTGTG